TCTTCAAAGTTTCTTCTGAGGAAAGAAAAAGCATAATATACCCCCAAAGTTCACCCCAAGCAAAGTAGACCTGGAAGAGTTTACTGCTGGAAAATAGCCAAATTCTGAACTGGGGTCACTTTCCTCAAATGCTTTGTGACTTTTTCTGCTTGATTCCAGATATCTAGATCCAAAAGGCTGAAAATCAAAACCCATTTCTCAATCTCTATAACCCTAGTATTTGTTTATTGATTTACATTTGGTGCTTACTACAGGAAGTCCTCTATAATAAGATAGCAAAAATCAGTGTACACTAGCCCCAAAATATTAGACCTGTCACCTGGCCTTGAAAAAATGCAGCTTTTAGGTTATGTGGTAATTTTAGCATAGATGGGAGTAGGTGCTCACCTGCCTCTGCAATATCAGAGAATTTTAAAACACATTCTTTTCTTCAGTGGTAAAACCCTTTAGCCAGTGTCAGAGCTGGCAGTCCTTTCATCCCTGCTGCCCTGTGTGTGCTACAAACAAGGATGATCAGTTCTGTACCCACAAATCAGATTTGAGAGGAAAGTGATAGATAGGAGTCTCTGAGGAGCCAAGAAAATTCGGGAGCAAACAAATACACATTTGCCTTCCCAAATCAGGATAAACGTGGCATAAAGTACATTTTACAAGGTGTGAACGGGTGCCAGGGATTTCTGGAGGCAATGCAACTGCTGCTGAAACTTATTAACCCTCCCCCTACTACACGTACTTGTAAAACGAAATTAAATCATGCTGAAAATAGCAATTTTCCCAGGAATCATTAATCACCTCATACAATAAATACTTCTTTGTAATTCAACAGCAATTCTGAAAGGCATTCTCTGGGAAAAGTCTGTGGAGGAGAGAGGGATCTTCCTGCAAATAATGTGGTCTCAGGCAAGGACACAGAATCTTGGCTGTCTGCTAAAAAAAAAAAAAAAAAAAAAAAAAAAAATGCCTAGACTCCTTTGGTGGAAACTGAGTGTCGAGCTACAAAATCTCAAATGGCAGACTATCATCATTTAAGGTAAATTCTTATATTTCTCCTTTGTGGGGAAAGAGGGGTATGGGAATATTCATTAGTGTCATGCTGGAGGCAGTTATATGAGGATAAAGGGGATGACTTTCTTTCACTTGCACTTATAAGTCTATCCAGAAAGGGAAGAGAGAGGATTGAGATCATTTTTCTGATATTCTGGGATAAGATGGCATTTTTGTCCCAACTGTATTGATTATTAAGGTACAAAACCAAGATTATTGGAAATGATCCAAATGATTGTCATTTCTTCAGTGTTATGTTTTGCCTGTTTCAGATTGGCTTTTAAGGGAGCTTGTTATAAGAGATTAGAAAATCCCACTTTGTGCTTCAAAATCATGCATTGTCTGCCCTTTGCTAAGGCAACCATAAGAGTTCACCGAGAGGACAAATTTTCTATCTCATTAATTGTTTTTTTTTTTTTTTAAGCAAACCCTATTGGCCCCTCAAACCCTTGACCTTTAAAGACAGTATTTTGTGTAAGCTCTATAATTCTATGAAAATAAGCCTTACACATGCTCTCCTCTGTTTCTCCCTCCCTCCAATACACACTCATCTACTTTAGTCACACAGCCAAGCTGTGCATGACTCCAGAGGTAAAAGTTTTGTCAACATCTGAAATCAACCTAAATCGGATAGGAGACACTTTAATGGTCACAGTTTGAATTAAGTACTTAACACTCTCCCCCTTGAAGAAAAATGGCACTTTGCAGGCTTCCTTCCCTAGTTTTGCTGAAATCTACGATATACCCGGTGTTTTATTACAGCAGGAATTCAACTGTGACAGGCATAGTAGAGTACTTAATACCCAGGATGAAGCTCATGGGAAGATTACCTAGATAGATGGGGAAGGAGGGAAGTCCCTGTGCATAGCATCTCCGACTTCATATGCAGTTGTCCCAGGGTGCCCCATTCCCCTACATCTCAGCCTCCTCCCTGTGGGGTGGGGTAGAGTGGATATCACTATCTTTCCTCTGTCCCCCTGTTCCCCTAAGCTTCCAAACTCTGCTGCTCTCCTCACTGTTGCTTTCCCTCTAGCAGTTCCCACATAGAAACAGATCAATGACTCTTTAGAAAGGAAGAGAAGAAAAACCCAAAGAATCAATGTAGCAAAAAAGCCTGGGGCTTCCCATCTGAATGAGTGGGTTCCGTGCAGGCAGTAGGCTGTCCTTGGCACTCCTTTGGTCTCTGCATACCTAGACACAGTCTTGTATTGAAAAACACAGGCTCACCTTTCTCAACTGCTGCTCCTGTTGCCCCTTCTCTATATTATACACTGGCCCAAGAATAACTCTGCTTTGTGTTTCAAAGAAACACATGGGCTGGAAACAATAGGAGGAAGAGACGTGTGTTCTGTTCCCTTGATGGTATGAGGGAGGCTGCTGTGGCTGTCTTGAAACCCTCTAGTCTGCAACTTATAGAACTCTGGCACCTTTTCTGAAGACTCCAAACTTACAGGGCACCCCCCTCCCTTTCAAGCCAGCTCCACTTTCTCTGGGATTGATTCATCGGGTTGAAAGAGATTCCCAGATTGAAAGATTGTCCAAGGTGAAAGAGACCTGGAGGTCATTTTGGTTCAATCTTCTTAGTTTACAGATGAGAAAACTGAGGCAGCTGAATAATCCTCCCTGTATGGTTCCTTATGTTAATGAGTGTGAGGGTGGAGTGCAACCTTTAGTCTTACTCTAGAGAGCAGTAAGGTCACAGGCATCTTTCCTCTTGGGAAGCTATTATGCCAGGAATGGATGTATCTAAGCTTGCACTTGACCTGGATGGCCACAGGTGTGTACAGCCAGAGAATAATGATGGGTTCTTGCCTCATGTGCCATCGAAGGTGCTTGAGGAGATTTTTGTTACCAAACCACCCTAGTCATGGAGCTCAGGGAGGTGGTCTGGCCACTGGGCTTAGGAGGGGACAGACGTCAGGGCGCCTCAGAGAGCAGTGGACTCCTCACTGTCCACAACGTTCAGAATTCCATAATGACTAATTCTGTCATGCTTGACCTGCTATTTCTATGGTGGTGGCTTGCCTCGGACCAGGGCAAGGGTGAATGTGCTCCGGAGGCCTGCAGAGCCAAACAAGGACCCTGGTTGCAGCTGATAAAGGTGTAGTGCCTGTTCGAGGGAGATACTGAAATTGTAATCTTTGAGGTCACGTGACTCATTAAATAATTAATGCAGATCGTCAGGAATGGATCAGAGTCATCAGGGCCTCACTAGGAATGAATCTCTCAGAAGTGAGACTCCAACTTCCCATTTGATTTTTAAAAACACACACCCTCAGATTTATCTCCAAAAGCTTTTAACTTCTTCAGGAAGGCAGGAGAGAATCCTTTGGAGGGGAGGAAAGAGCTGGCGGGCCCTCGCCGGGTCCTGGGGCTTCTTCCGCAGGGTTTCTGCGAGTCCGGGGAGCGCGCCGCGTCCGGGGAAACGTGAGTTCGGGCTTGGGTTTTCTGCGGTCACATCCTGGCTTTGGTGATGAAGTGGGACGGATGCGCAGACAGTTGGTAATATTCTGATTCACGCTGGGGAAGGCTGCAGAGATACCACAGGACGGGCGCGCGGCTTTGTTCAATTTTCCCGGCGTTCATAAATCACCCGCGCCGGGCGAGCGAGGGAGCAAGCGAGTGCCAAAAACGCAGAGAGAGAGGCCACGGCGGCGGCGGCCATTGCAGAGCGAGAGACCTGGACAGCATCTCTCTGTGACTCATTAGTCTGAACGATTTATGGGGGACAGCAGCCATGAATATTAGACTTGGGGATAAGGAAGGAGCAAAAATAATAATAACCATAATAATTACATACTCCTAAGTGTTGCGCAGTGGATGGCAGCATAGTGGATCTTTCTGGGGTGAAATTGAGAGGCAAAGTGCAGATGGATGAGTACACACCTTGCTCTAGGTCATGCCAGGGGCCCAAAGACCAGGGGACACTCCCTTTGGGGACACAGACAGCAAGTTTGAACAAGAGAAAGGAGGCGCAGCGTGGATCTTGAGCCCTTTTCCTTTGGTTTGTGGGGGCTGCGGGTCGAATGGTGGCAGAGCGCAGCTGCCCATGTGCGGCCACTTGTTCAACGTGCTAGGGGGCTCCGAAGCCAGGGGTCAGGGGACTCCTCAGCTATTTGATAGCGCCTCTTAGCGCTATCTACAGAATTGCAAGAAGGCAGACAGACAGTGGAGGGCTGGTTTGGGGCAGGCTGGAGCAAGAGGAGGTTACCTGGGTCTGGGTGAAAGGGGAGTGGGGACAGTGCTAGGTCTGCAGACGAAGAGAGCCCGCAGAATCCCAGCGGAGTGCAGAACTTCTCCGAGCCAGGGTCCCGCGCAAGGACGATTCTTTGCTCCTTCCCTAGCTTCTCCCACCGAGCTGACTGCTGGCTCAGTGACCATTTGTTGCTTAGAGGGCAAGAAAGGGTTGCAAATATTGTGAGGGACGAGATTTGAGTAGAAGCAAGGCATCAAGTCGGCTTGTGGCCACTGCGCAAGGCCAGGCTGGAGCAGGGTCCCTGAGCAGGTATTGTACCAGCCGGCGCCCCTCCCAGTTTCCAGCAGCCTTAGTTGGCCTGCTCTGAGGGTCTAAGCACTGCGATAGTCCCACCAGCTCATTAGGACCTAGAAGGCACGTACCCAGGGTTGGATAAACCAGAAGATAAAACCTCCCAAGACTGCCTCTGGCCAGCGGACTGAGCCCGGGTCTGATTTCGTGCCAACAGAAATGAACTCTATTAGTGAGGTTTCAGGAGAGTCCGTGATTGAATGCTCCCAGACAAGGCTTCCTTTTGTTAGGAAAAGAAAATAAAGCGAGCATTCACATTCTCCAAGTTGGGGTGCGTGAGGAGAGCTCTCTGAAAGCAGCCCACACCACCAGCAAAGCCGCTTCCACCTTCTCAGCTTCCTCTCTTTCATTTTCTTTCCTCTCCCACCCCAACCCCCTCCCCCAAAAAAGAAAGAAAAAGGAGAAAGTGTGGGTGCGGAGATGGAGTATGTATTTATTTTACAAAAATAAATCACCATCTTCGGGCCATTTGTAGACTGGAACATTTCGAGCAATGAGTGCACCGCATGGATGAGTGCCCTGGCGACTCCTTGGTGTTCGAGTCACCCCCAGGGCCACCTTGGCACTTGCAGGAGCCGTGCTTCCCACTCTGGGCCTCTAACTCCCTTCTTTCGCAGCCGCCGTTCACCCTCTGCTGTTTATTTGTCTGCAGAGCGCCTGGACACTGGAAAAGGCGATTCCCTGAGCGCCCGGAGTTGGAGACAATTCCTAGTTCAGATTTAAACATCTCTCTAGGTAAGCGCTACTTCAAAACTCTTCGCTGCGTGGGACTTTGCATCAGGGGGGTTGGGAGGAGTTGGCTCTCCACGGCTCCTGGCAACCGCGGCCTGTTGAAAGAGGTTCTGGTCAATATTTAACTTCAGAGGAGTTTGGAGTTGGATTCCTTTAAGCTGCTTGCCCTGCGAATGCAGGGCCTCAGGCAGACAAAGAGTCTACCCCAAAGCCAGCGATGGTCAGGAGAAATGGTTGCAGAAGGCAAAGATGGGTTGTGGAGAGTCAGAGGGGGTGTGTTGATTTCTTTCTGCAAGCCCCAAACAAACCACTACGCTGAACTTCAGGGCAAAAGCAAGTAAAGGCCATGGGTATGCGCGCCGCGGCCGCAGCGTGGGCTGCTCTCCTTGCTGACCGAGGCGACTGTGGAGGCTGGGAGTTAGGAAATTGTCGCCGTCGCAGCTCGCTGTTGAGGAAAACTTGTCTCACCGCCTTGCAGTTTCTTAGATCCTTTTGCCTTTTCTCAGAGATGAGAAAGATTGCTGTGTTTCTAACCTTTAGGCCTTCGCAGGTAGCAGGTCTTCTCCCTTCCTTCATCAGGGCTCATTCTCGGTTCTTCCTACGGGGAAAAATATGCTCTTCTATGTCTTGGCGTTTTCTTTTCCTATTTGGAACAAAGGAAAACTCTTTTAAATTCTTTTCAAGCTCTGCCTTAATTTGTTCTCTTAGTTTGGGATGCAGGGAGGTAATTACTGTGGTTTATTACCTTGTAAAAGATCCATAAATTACGTGCCTGTTTGGGGGAGGGGCTGCTGGAATAGCATTCAAAACCATGGCATGAAGGAATGAGTTGGCTTTGTTCTTTCAGGAATTACTTATTTTTAAAAAGTTTTGAGATTTTGTTTTCTATTCCCTAGGCCTCAAACTTCCCGTAAATTTAGTCCCAAATAGTTATCAGGTTGTTAATTAATTGCAACATGATATTCAGTGGTGCTCTAAGGCTGATATGGTATTCTGGATACAATTTTTATTTTTTCCAATAGAAGGTAAACAGAGCAATAGTCAAGCTGGGTTACTTTCTCAGCTACTGTATGTCTGTTTATATCAAATGTAGACAAAGCGTTTCAGGAATTCGTAACTCCGTGTATATGATTTCCATCTCTGCAAACAACAGAACAATTGCATGTGTAAATAATTGCAGGAGTTTGGGGCCGTGTGTATAACACCATATACACATCCACATGTGTCCAGAGAACTTGGCTCATTTGTACTGCACTTGCACTCACAGGAAATATCTCATCTTAAATAAGAATCTATCATACACACACACACACACACACACACACACACACACACACACACAGTGGGCTAAGAGAGCCTTACCTGATGCTGAGTAGAAAATCCACTAGATTTAAGTAATGGAACAAAAATGTTAAGTGAATTTTTGATAGAGAAATCAGATTACAGTGTTTGAGTACAGATATATGTAATCTGCCAACAGCCTTGCAAATATTGACTAACGGTCTGTATCCCTGATTGCCTGCTTTTTCCACACCAACTTTCCCCCTATTTTGGCTCTGGTGACCAGGACCACAGCATGAGTCCCAGCCCAGGCCAGGTTAGTGTCCAGTGAAGTGAGTGAGGAGGGACTGGCAGCTGGATTTTTAAAAGGCCTGTAGCTTTGCTCCAGGAAACTGGATTGCAGAGTGGCAAAGGAGAACTGTCAGCTGCTGTTTCCCCAGATAGGCTTCCCAGGCCAAGATCTCTCATAGAGAAACAGTTTTTTTTTACCCCAAAGTTAAATGTCTTTTGACTTCTCAGATTTTTCCCTTCTCATCCCACCAAATCACCCAGTCCCACCACAAGTCATTAATGTTAATTGTTAAACAGCAGTTGGAGCATTAACTGGGATGTTAGCAGCCCTGTGGAGGCCCCAGGCTGGAGCTGAGAGATGCCTCTGGGCATTGCTGGAGTTAAGGCATTTCTCTGAAGCAGTACCAATGACTTCTCTCATTCATTTATGGCTTTATTTATTTATTTATTTATTTATTTCTGAGACGTAGGTAGTCTCACTCTGTCCCAGGCTGTAGTGCAGTGGTGTGATCTCAGCTCACTGCAACCTCTGTCTCCCAGGTTCAAGTGATTCTCTAGCCTCAGCCTCTCGAGTAGCTGGGATTACAGGCATGCACCACCACGCTGGGCTAATTTTTGTATTTTTAGTAGAGATGGGAGTTCAAGACCAGCCTCCATGTTGGTCAAGCTGGTCTCAAACTCTTGACCTCGTGATCCACCTGCCTTGGCCTCCCAAAGTGCTGAGATTACAGGCATGAGCCACTGCGCCTGGCTGACTTATGGCTTTAAAAGTTTCGATCTGCTGAAGACTCTTCCAAGAGTTTTGAAGGGGGTCCCTTCTCATCTTTGAGTCGATGCCTCTGCAGAAACTTGAGGGTGGGGAGGAGTTTGCCAGCAACACCTCCAGGTCCTTTTCTATGGTACCTGGTTAGCTCATTGTGAATTATTGGTGAGGGGGATGAGGGAGGCAGATAGCAGTAAGAATGAGAGGAGTGAGTTCTTGGGGGACAGGACAATGCTTTTTGGAAACCATATCTTGCTCCTGTCCTCTATCCCCAAACCTGAGAGAGGCAGGTTTTCACTTTTACTTCTTACTTTCCAGCTTATAACATAGGAGCTGGAAAAGTTCACATGGAGGTTTTCTTCCAGCTACACCACAGATTGAATCTTATTGAAATATTGTCACCAGTTTAGGCCAGGACTTGCCTTCAAGGGATTAGGTCTCTTATTATCCTTCTGATTTAGATAACCCATGACCAGGTTCTCTTACTAAGGGCCTTACATTTTCATCAGACCCCTTCTGTTCCTCTGCAGGGGAGGAGTGAAAGGGAGGAATCATGCACAGCCTCCTGAAGCTGCTACAAGTGAGTCCTTACACTTAGGTATAGCCAGCTGAAGACCATTCTCCAGAAAAAACAGAATATGGCCTGAGGATCTCACTAGCCTCACAGCACTCTCAGAAGTTCAGAAACTAAGAACGGGAAAGAGAAGATTTTTAGGCAGCGCATGAAACAGTACTATGCTGAAATCGATGGGCAATGTCACCAGGCAGAAGGCAGGAGTAGGGGTGGGGGCAGCTTATTTGTTTCAGTTAGGTTCCTACTGAGCACAGTTGGTTCTCTACTGGTTTTCTCCTCAAGATTATTTTCAGAGTTCTGAAGAGGGATCTTTCTCATCTTTGAGTTGATATGTCTGGGGGTGGGGGGAGAATTTGCTGGTGGACACAGAATTGTCTTGGAAAATGGGTAGACAGACGTGCCTGTAGAGAGGGTTCCAGGTTGCCTTGTTAACTTAAGGTGCTCCAGTGAAGGTTGATTCTTTTTCTTATTTTTTTTGGGAGGGGGTCTCTTGCAGATCAATCAGATGATTTCCTCTGATATTTTTCATCTTTAGAAACCTATAGTTTCATGTATCACTCAGCTGTGCACTGAGGAACTGCTTAAGTTTGGTCAGGGCACTAGGTTTCTCCAGATTTTGCAAAACCCGGACCACACTATAGCCAAGCACATCTTTCCTCGTAGGCTCCCATTGAACAAAACCAGCTGGACTTGGAGGAGATGTTTTAACCTTTTGTCAGGTAATTATGGGCCTTTTTGGTTTCTCTAGTGGCTGTGGTGTATGGTGTGGGTGTTAGCAAACTCCATACAATGGCAGGGAGGGAGGAAGTCCGCTATCCAGGCCAGTTGTTTCTGGGCCTGCCCCTTGCCTTTTGATATACTGGCCTGTGAGCCAGAGGAGACTGAGGTGCATGGGTGTACAGGATCCAGCTTGTCCGAGGGTGGGAGGCTGTAAGGAAAGTTAAGTGGATTCTAAAAATAAGAATAGCATTGCTGTACCCTTGTGTTTGGAGTATGTGTAAAGAAATATAAGTGGAGATAAGCTGTCTTGCATGGTACTCATGTGGGGATGGCCCCCAGCATTCTATTGCTTAGACAGAGCTCTTAAACTCAAAATTGCTGGTTGAGGTCCCCCACCTACCCTCCCTCAAAGCTAAATATTCTGTTTGGAAACCTAGTTCCTTTAGTGGTTCCCTATTTCAAATAAAAGGATTTAAGTTGACGTATGACCACGTGAGCACATAATACAGTGCATTATTGTGGCATTTGGAGCGGAGACCCAGGCAGGCTTCGCCTGTGATTACGTTTTCTAGATTCTCTACAGAGCTGGAGCTTTTCCCCAACCCCCACACACCCACCTCCTCCTTCTCCTTCCCCTTCTCCGGAGAGCATTCTCTGAGCAGGTTGCAGTTTTCAGCACTCATGGAGCCGTTCTGGGCAAGCTAGCTGATGGAAGTCGAGGCCGTACCAGGAGGATGGAATTTATTTTAAGGTATTTCCGCTGATTGTTCATATCTAGAGTGAGTTATGGCTGTGAGAGACAAAGGTCAGGCGAGGAGACCCTGGCTCACAGACAGGACCCTCAGCCTCTCTCTTCCTTTGTTTCTCTTTTAGAACTGAAACCATTTGAAAGATTCCCAGTAGTGCCTCAGAAAGTGTTAGGGGTATAAATTAGGGGTATTGGGGGGCTACTAGGTGGGCCCAATGGCCCCCAGTGCAAAGGTGGCTTTGTCCACTGCAGCAGAGCAGGGCTGGAGTCTTGGGAACTGAGCCCAAGGCAGAAAGAGGGTCCTGAAGCCCGGTGCAGGCCGAGGTGGCCCGGCTTGCAGGGCTAGACTGCCCGGGAGGGGTGGGGGATGGGTGGGGGAGAAGGGAAATCTCCCTTCCAGTGTTTTCAGGCAAGGGATGGAGGGTTAAGGCTGACCTGAGCAGCCTGAGCAGCTGGAAGAGGGAAATCAATGAGGGAAATGTGCAGATGTGCTGCCATTTTATTGATGATGCTTCCAGCCACTTTGTTTAGTGCCAGATTGCAGAGCATGCTCCCCCACAAGCCGGATCCACGAAGCCAGACCGAGGATCTGAACTGGAGGGCCTGCCATTGTTTCCCTGAGCACCCTCTGCCCCAGAGGGATGAAGAAAGACAGCTCAGACCTAGGAGAGCCTTGGGGTGGGGTGAGCTTGCTGGATGCCCTGAGGCTCCTTATTCTAACATTCGGGAGACAGAGTAAGGAGGGAGCCAGGATTAGGTTTGGACTTCATCAATGTGCCTGGTCTGGGCATTCCTTGTATAGCCCCAGCTGGCTTGGAGAGTTCCAGAACTGGCCAGTGGGAGGGAAGTCCAGAAACAAGATTCCTCAGGAAGCAGAAGCAGACATCTCTACAGCTTCAGAGCTCCCAAAACAGAGCTGTAGCCAGGGTGGAGGCAGATGAAAGTTAGACCTCGTGTTTCCAGATTATTGGGAAAGCCCCAGCTAATTGGGCTTTGGGGACCCCACATTCCTGGGAAGGGTGGAAACTCCCTGGAAAGGTATAGGAAACTCTACTTTATTCTGCTCCTTGGAGTAGGGAAAGGGATGCTTATAAGGAGTCAGAAGTCGGATTTGTCCCTTTGACTTCTTAAAATATAGATTATTTATTTCTGTACTTGAAAAAAAAATCAAATCAGGCATCCCCTACTTGAGTGGGATTTACTACCCCAGAACGAAAGGGCCCTTCTGCCCTCCCCAATGCCGGCCTCGGCAGTAACTGTGTTTAACTGAGGCCCTTTCAAGTGCTCTAAAACACCCCTTGGAAATAAAATGTAAGCTTTAATTGCTGTTCAATTACTTGTCAGCATTTCATATGATTTATGACCCAGTTCTGGCGCATTTTTGACCCAGTTAAAGACTCATAAATAATATAGTTTCACTAGAAAGAATGAGAGAGGGAATAGAGGTTTGTTAGAGGCATCTTTTTATTGTCGATTCAGTGCCAGCAAGCTGAATAAATATCTAAGGATGGACTCTAGTTCTATATAAAAGCATGCACAGTGAGAAGCCAAGAGCCACATTTATAGAGCTCAGATTCGTTTCTCTTTCCATGAAAGTGCTAAAGTCAGTCCAATATATATAATGCTTAACTATTAGGTATCAAAAAGGGCTGATCCCCTTCTACCTCAAAATGGCAGCTTCACCCTCACAGGCAAGTACATTTCCTGAATAATTTTCCTCCCCTTCTGGGATTTTGATGCCTCTTCTTGCCCACATTATTCCTCACCTTCCTCCCCGGCTGCATAGCCTTGGAGCCGCCAGAGGCCCTCTCAGACGCCTTCAGGAGGATACCCCCTTGAATGGTAGAAAGGCACCACAGGCACATTTGCTGCTCCAAGTATTCTTCTAGTGCTGAGAAAATGTTTTCTTCTAGTCCTCCCTGGATGAGAGCTCGGGAGCCACGGGGATCTGGGGAAACTGGTGGAACCAAGGGGTCCCCTCAGTAAGGAAAAGCTCTGCGGTTTTGGTGGAGCCGGGCGAACTGCTGCGGGATTTGTATAGAAAGGGCTCAGCGGCAGCGGCCAGTAATTTCTGGAGATGGAAATCAACAACTGGTATTTTATCTTTTAAAAAAACAAACACCAATAACAAACCGACAAATAAAAACCTTCCCTCAGTATAAATTATTATTTTAAAATCTCGCCTACGCTTGCTCCAAAGCCAGTCCTTTGGATTTCAGCAGAGCGGCTTGAGACTGGGGCACCGACCATCTGTACGCCAGGACGTCGGACCTTCGTCTTGAGGTCGGAGCCCCACTTCTACCCGCTGAGGCCCGCAGCCCGGGAGCCACCTATGGGGCGGATAGAAGCCCTGGCCGGAACCGAGCTTCTGCCCCAGATATCGCTGGGCTCCCGCAGCTCTTCAAGTCGGGTCTGCGCGTTTTGCCCTGCAGGGTCTTGGCGCCAGCGGAAAGGTATGCATTCCCGGCTCCCCAGCCCTTGCTCCGGCGCCCTCGGTCCCCTTGGCCCAGAGAATTCCTTCCCTGGACGGTTTTCACTGAAAGCTGGCCTTCCCAGCAGCTGACTTAGCTGAGAAGGCGGTGAGAGTCGCGTCAGCAGTTTGGAGGAGAAAGTGCGGGTTGATTATTGACCCACGCCTTCTGTCTTCAAATGCCACATCCGATCGGGCTGGTTTGAAGAGAAAATGCCACCGAATGGATTTTTGCAGCGGCTCTCACCTCCTACACGGCCGGCTACCCCTTTCAAGTTGCGCTGCAATATGCCATAAGGAGCAAGTGTTTGCTGTTTTGTGCTCTGTTTACAGCTTTGGGGCGCCGAGTCATAAATCTTGCCCAGCCATAAATGACAAAAACCATTGGTATGCATGAGGCCACCCTGGCCTGGAGTGCTTTTTGATTTCTCCCTTTTCCCCTGGCTTTGTTTTTGCTCTAAGGTGACACTTTGGCTCCTTGACAGTTTAAACATACTACTTATATTTTTAACACCTTCCTTTGAGAAGGACCCGCCGTTGACACCTTGGGATTGCAGGAAATCTCCATTTCTCTTTTTTGCTACACTCATACCCTTGCAGAGTTTGCTTCTGAAGCTGGGGAGCTAAGGAGGCTTTGGGAGGACAACCATCCTCTTTCAAGTTGTGGCAATATTACCGTGCAAATTCGGGCCTTTCTTTTGCCCAGCTCAGCGTTACTACATCCCACTAATTAGGAATATATATTATATATATAATTTAGGAATCCATTTGAGAAACCATGTATTCCCCTGCCGTATGTGTGTTTGTGTGTAGATATGTATATTTGGAGTCAGAGCTTTATCTGTCTTCCCTATGGGTAAGCTGCGTGTCTGCACTGTGAAATGGGCACACAAGCCCTGCGATTCACGTTTCTAAACACCCTTGTGTGTTCCTGAGCCCAGAGCATCCCATTTCACTGCTGGAACAAGTATCTGTCTTTCCCGGGGTACTTCCCTCCTGGCTGCTAGGATGTTAGCTGTTTCTGCCTAAAAATATAACCGAAGAGAGCCCAGGTGGCTCTTGGGGGTCTCTAAAGAGCCTTATCCCAGCTCCCCAAACCCCGACCCAAAGATCTGTTTGGGGATGGCAGGTGAAGTAAACTGGGCAAAGTCTGGGAAACTCACTTCTCTTGGTTCTCTTTCCCCTCACGGCACAATTGGAAGTGTCCAGGGCAGAGGAATACGTGGTTTCTCGAACGGATTCCTAAGAAATAGAGCCCAGCAAGAGAGCCCCTTTGTGAGAGCCCTTTGTCCTCATTAGCATAATTTTCCTGGACTTTAGTGACGCCTGGGAGCAGGAGAGGGAGGGAGTTGGGGGTGGGGGGAGGCTGCTCTCCCCTGGCCACCACCGAGCTCCCCTTCTCCCTCCGGTCCCTCCCCTCGCTTCAGCTCCATCCCCCACACCGGCCCGCGCTTCCCCAGCCGCCTTGGTCTCCCCTCCCGCCCGCCCCAGCACCCCCCACCGCACCCCCGGACCAGACGCTGCTCCGCGTGTAATATTCATAAGAAACATACCCAAGTCGGTGCCACTAGCCCAGGCAGAGCCCGGCGCCGCACTAGCGCTTATCTCCGGGCCGCGGCTGCTGCCCTCGGGAAGGGCAGGGGGCGGAGGTGTGGGGGAGGGGTGGGTGGGTGGGGTGGGTGGGAGGGGGGGTCCAAGCCGCCCCAGTCGGCCCTGGGCGAGCCGTGCCGGAGCAGCGAGGCGGCCACGCTCTGCGCGGCGGCTTCCGGGCCTCGGGGTCTCCCGCCAGCCTGCCGTCTCGGCTGATGCTGAGGGTCGGTGCCCATCCTGCGCCAAGGGGACCCGGCCGGGCTGCCGAGCCGGGCCGGGGGTGGGAGCGGGTGCCTGAGCCACAGCCCGAGCCTGCGCTCTCGGCGCTCGTCAGAAGTTAAGGTAAGCAGGGCCGCAACCGGCCGCTCCCGGCGCTGAATGGCGGAGTTTACGTCTCGGTGATTTATGGCTGCAGACTTAAATCTCGGTTCAAGAAGAGTTCACAAGCCGGAGCTTCCTTCCCGGCAGTGACTGATACCCTTACACTTCGAGTTCAGGCCGCTTTCCCATCCCCGCCCCCCACCTCTTGCCTCTCCCCTAGCCCAGCCTCAACTTCTCTGGGTTGGAGGGGGAAGGAGGGTAGGCAGGAGACTCGGGGCTCCTGTCCGAGGAACCTGCCTAGATCTGGGGCAAGGGAAGGCTAAGGGAGAGGAGGGAATGGAAAGAGAGAGCGATCTCAGAAGGACAGAGGTTGAATTTGGGCACATCTCCCAGAGAGACAATAGGGCTTGCTTCCTGCACTCAGTGTAGCCTCTTCAACTCTCTTTCGACTCTTGCACTTGGGGATTATTGTCCAGAAACGAATCTTTGTAGAGAAATCTCCCCTCATCCCCAGCCCTTGCTTGAGGGTACAAAGCAAAGTTTCCTGGCTGGCAGTTCTCCAACTTCTTTACTAGGTTGCAAACTTTGGGGGCTGGGTTGGGGTGAGGGGATGTATGAGCTCCAAGGTGGTGGTCTGCCAACTTCAAACAATAGGGGGGATTTTGGTGGGATCTCAGAGTCAAATTCATGTTTTAAGTTTGTGGGGGCTGTTGTATGCTCTTTGATTTTCACAGATATTTTTGTTATTTTGCAAAAAATGCATAACTTGATAAAAAGGCTTAAGTAGCAGGCTGGTATAACCTGTGATAATGGATTAGCAAGTCACTAGAAATATTGCTTGTGCAAAGTCAACTTAATTTTGTTTTATCTAATATCTTGCTGTTCAAGTGTCTAATTTTCCTAACCTGATGTTTTATTTTACACAAGCTTGGTATCTAAAAAATTTATAATGCAGACATTAACACTGCCAAATGTAATTAAGAACTGTTTTCAGTAAAAGAAAAGGAATCTGATACATTAAATTGCTATTCAGTTTTAAGTTTTATTTTATCCTTTATTTACTTTCAATCATGATATGTGTAGCTTCCTATTTCCAAAAGAGAAACAATGCTCCAGGGCTCATGATCACTGACAGTAACTCTGGATAAGGGATGCTGTAATTTTTAATTGAGGTTCTGGAAAATTAATTGTGCCTGTTTTGCAGATGTTGGTCAGATTGTTGGCTTAATAATGAAATCTAAAGGAGTCCATTATTAACAATGAAATTATAATCATCTTCTGGTAGATGCAACACATTATCTTTTTTTTCTATTTAACAAAGCATCGAATATTCCTGGAAAACTTGAATAACTGGCACTCAATATACATAGTTGGGTTGAATGAAACCATTTTCTTTAGAATTTGTTATAATTTTCTTAAGTGGTCAGAGGGACTGACATTCTGAGTGTGTGTGTGTATGTGAATATTTGAAACTCTCATGGAACTTTTCTGTGCTGAGAACTAGAGGTTGACCATGCAATCGCTGAAAACAAAAAGAAAACATAACTTTTGCAAACTGCTTTCTAAATGAAAGAGGGTTGAGAAGGTTTTCAACTGCTTTTTAAATTCTCAGTTATCCTTTATCTGTTATTTCTGAAGCAGGTAAATAGGCCAAGTAACAAATATCAACAACAACAGCACACAAAGATCAGGAAACTCTGGCAGGATTTTATGGCTTGTGGTTCCATCCCTCGTCCGGAGCCAAGTGACCCCCATACATCAAATTACATAGCAGTTTCTAAGACAGAACCTATTATCGTTAAGTTGGAAGGAGAGTTCAAGCCGTGGTCATGGAGATGAACGCTGGTTTTTCAGGTTCCTGGTGGGTTGTTTTTTTTCTCTAATCCATCATGTTTTAACAGGTAGAATTTGATAGTCGCCCTGAATAACAGCACCTCAGAAAGTCCAAGACAGGAGTGTCTGGGAACCTTCTGTAAATGGGGGAAAGAAGTGAGGGTGGCTTGCTGGAAAGTACCTGAGAAACAGGGAGAGAAAAGGAGTAAAGAAATCTCTAGGATTTGAGTTGCAACTTGCTGGTGGTGGTGGGGGGAGTGTTATTGTTGGTCGCTCCCCCTAAACACACACACACATAATGTGTGCCACCCAAAGTTTTCACTCCCCGCCTTTTTGGCCACGAGGAATCCATTTGGAGGAGATGAGTCATATCCCCAACAAGGTGAATTAACTGCCTTACAAGCTCAGCTTCTGAAATCCAGCATGGTTGGATGGGGCAAGTTGCCTGAAATTTTTTTGTGCAAAACTCTCTTGGGGGCAGGAAAGTCTAAGAAGGAGCTGGGTGGGAAGTTACCCCATCCCAGGGCTCTTTTAGCAAACATCAGTCCTAAAGCGGAGAAAACATTGGCGACTCAAGTTCCCCTTTGCCTCTCTGCCCTTCCCAAGATTCCCAGAGTGGAGGAGTCCTGGGCCCTCTGGAGGAGGCCAAGGAGCAGAAACTGACACCCCAAGTTTCTTCTTCCCTGGAAAAGAAAACTCCCAGCCTTGTTTCTTTCTAGCCTATCAGGCCTTTCACCTTTTGGACCCCTGCTCCTGAGAGTCAGCTTCCAGCCCTCACTCATTTTCCTTCTCTCTCCCCGGAAAATCCCCCAAATCCAGACGCAAGTTAAGCAAATATTTGTAGCTGCCAGTAAATTCCAGCGGTTTTTTATAGCGCGGCTTTCTGCGCCTGGGGCCAAGTCGTGCTGCTAAATATTGCTGACCACTTTTTCTTTTATGGCTTTCATGTCACTTAGCTATTGAGAGTAAGATGGATTTGCGCGGAGCCCTCACCGCGCTGCGCTTCTCGCCCCCCCAGGTCTGTGCGGGGCGGCCATTGGCGGCGGAGTGTCACGTGACCGCGGGGGCGTGCCAATGTGCGCCCTCAAGGGTGTCAAACCGCTGTCAGAGTGTGCGATCAAGATCGTGAAACAACGCGATGCAAAAAGCGACCTACTACGACAGCTCGGCGATCTACGGTGGCTACCCCTACCAGGCAGCCAACGGGTTCGCTTATAATGCCAATCAGCAGCCGTACCCGGGGTCTGCCGCTTTGGGCGCCGATGGCGAGTACCACCGACCCGCCTGCTCACTCCAGTCCCCCTCCAGCGCCGGGGGCCACCCCAAGGCACTTGAGCTGAGTGACGCATGCCTGCGCACCCTGAGCGGCCCACCTGGCCAGCCCCCAAGCCTGGGCGAACCGCCCTTGCCCCCGCCGCCGCCCCAGGCCGCGCCCCCTGCCCTACAGCCGCCTCAGCCCCCGCCTCAGCCCCCTGCACCCACCCCTGCCGCGCCTCCGCCCCCCTCTTCTGTCTCCCCCCCTCAGAATGCCAGCAGCAACCCCACCCCTGCCAACGCAGCCAAGAGCCCCCTGCTCAACTCACCCACAGTGGCCAAACAAATCTTCCCCTGGATGAAAGAGTCTCGACAAAACACGAAGCAGAAAACCAGCAGCTCCAGCTCAGGTAAAAGAGTACCTTCTGGAAGAGGGTCCTCTGGCCTGGCTGCGGCCCCCAAGCTACTGCCCACCATATCCAGCACAGCCTAGGCGCAATGGAGCGTGTCTGGAATTCACTGCTCCCACACCACTCCCCACCAAAAAGGTTTTCAGAGTCTTTGCAACTTAGGGAGGTGATAGGCCTCTGTGGGCTGGAAAACCCCAGAGACCTGCGGGAGTCTCTCTGGACTTCTCCAAGGGCGAGTAGGGTCTAGTGTAGTTGGAATCCTTTCTTGCTCCACTCTTGGAATTAGAACCTCTGTGCAGGAACAAGCTGAGCTCCACTGTCCATCTTTTTAGCACAGCTCTTCTAATGAAACAGTGACATCCTCCTCATGCTGAAATGTGGCAAAATAAAAACAGGCCTAATCACCCTCCAAGTCAGAATCAATGCTTTGCCTATAATCAGAGCCAATTTTTGCTCCAGCAGATGGAGTGGCTGCCTTACCTCTGGGAAGACCCTACTCAGACTTAGTACAATGAAAGCAGCCAAAGATCTCCTGGGGGAGGGGGATGCAGACTTGTCATCCTAATGGGAACCACATGGGCCTCCTGGAAGTAGGCTCCACTAGAGGAAAGGCCCCAAGCCTTAGGCATCTTAGCATTTTGGTTACCTTTGCCCCTGCCTTCTCCAGTTGCCAGTGCCCTGCCCTGAGCCTGAGCATCTGGGACCTCCAGAGCTAGGATTTAGGGGGCCAGGGAAGACAGAAGGGTAGAAGATTAGTGGACAAAAGCTGGGGCAGGCTGCTTGACAACATAGGAAACCCTAAAGAATAGGACCTAGCATGAAGGGCCTAGGCCTCCCCACCAGAAATGAATACCTTCAATGGGATCTCTTCCTTTGGGCAGAGAAGGCTTTCCAGTTTGAGGTTTCCAGTCTGCCCATCTCTTGGAATGGGCAGAAGAGACTCTTCCTGGGTAGAGAGAAATAAGTGGCCAGTAGAAGCTACTGCCTAATTATTGTCAGACAGTGTGGGAGGGAAAGAAGGTTTGAGTGTGTACATTAGGTTTCCCACATTTCAGTTACTGTGAACGGAATGGAGATGCTGAGACCGGCCCACAGGGAGGCTGTTGTCTGATAGGTCAAAGAGACTAGTAAATGCCAAAAAGTTGATAGTTCTAAAAAGAAAATCCAGATCAGGAAGGCAAACTGGGGGCGCTACTTCTCTGTCCTTTCCCCGAGAAGCTTATGATTGCTCCTTGGCTGAATGAGGGACTACCACTGTTTTACCCACCAGGAAAGAAGATAGCACCTAGTTCCTACTTCTCTCTGGGCCCTGACAGAAGGAGAAATCTTTGGGGCGTAAAGGAAGGAGGGGCCGGGCTGGGTCAGGGGCTGGGTCAGGGGCTGGGCGGGGCCTCGGCAGCCCCTGACGCCGCTCTTCCTCTCTCTGTCCTCGCAGGCGAGAGTTGCGCTGGCGACAAGAGCCCGCCGGGCCAGGCTTCCTCCAAGCGCGCGCGCACGGCCTACACGAGCGCTCAGCTGGTGGAGCTGGAGAAAGAGTTCCACTTCAACCGCTACCTGTGCCGGCCGCGCCGGGTGGAGATGGCCAATCTGCTGAACCTCACCGAGCGCCAGATCAAGATCTGGTTCCAGAATCGCCGCATGAAGTACAAAAAGGATCAGAAGGGCAAAGGAATGCTGACGTCATCGGGGGGGCAGTCTCCAAGTCGCAGTCCCGTGCCCCCTGGCGCCGGTGGCTATCTGAACTCTATGCATTCGCTGGTCAACAGCGTCCCGTATGAGCCCCAGTCGCCCCCGCCCTTCTCCAAGCCTCCCCAGGGTGCCTACGGGCTGCCTCCCTCCTCCTACCCTGCGCCCCTGCCTAGCTGTGCACCCCCGCCACCCCCACAGAAGCGCTACACTGCGGCAGGGGCGGGCTCAGGGGGCACCCCCGACTATGACCCGCACGCTCATGGCCTGCAGGGCAACGGCAGCTATGGGACCCCACACATACAGGGAAGCCCCGTCTTCGTGGGGGGCAGCTATGTGGAGCCCATGAGCAACTCCGGGCCAGCCCTCTTTGGTCTAGCTCACCTCCCCCACGCTGCCTCGGGCGCTATGGACTATGGGGGCACCGGGCCGCTGGGCAGCGGTCACCACCATGGGTCGGGGCCTGGGGAGCCGCACCCCACCTACACGGACCTTACCGCCCACCATCCTTCTCAGGGAAGAATTCAGGAAGCACCCAAGCTCACCCACCTGTGATGGTGGGCTCGGGGCTACGCGCCAGGAGAGTCTCCCCCACCCACCTTTTTGCTTTGGTTGCTTTTTTTTTTTTTTTTTTTTTTTTCGTTCTTCCTGCCCTTTCCTTCCTTCTGCGCCCCCGAACTCCATTTCCCGGTTTCCCTGCTCTTTGGTAACGCATTTTTATAGTTTATGTGACGTAGCAATCTTGGTTGCTGGAATAGCTGTATCAGTAGCGATATTTATCTCTTCCTGCCCCTCGCTAGGCCACTGGCCCTGCATCCTTTACCTTCTCCACTCTTTGATCAGAAACAGGGTATATGAACAAATTTTCTAGTCGAGTTTTCAATGTGAATTTGTTCGTACATTATGGCTCCCGAGGGGAAGCGATTACTTTTTTTTTTTTTTTTTTCATTTTTACTTTTTTTTTTTTAATTGCACTTGTAAAGAGAGAGAAAAAAAATCAAAGGCGCTTTGAAACAGGGGCTCCCTGTGCAAGGATGACTAAGTGTACGTCTTTCCGTGTGTGTATGCTGGTGAACAGTCAGATTTATTTATATTTTTTTTGCAAGCATTGAATAATCTAAGTTTTAAATATTATTTATCCCCAATCCGTTCGTATTTATATTAAAGAAATTCTGTGCCCTGATTGTTCAGAAGGGTTCTTGGACCTTTTGTTCAACTGTGTATTGGCGTACATAGAAATTTTTTTTTATTTGAAAGGGAAATAGAATTCCTTTAAACGGTAATGATGCAATAAAACCAGAGAAGATACAGCTTTTGAAAACAGTGATTTAGGTTTGAATCCGGCAAAACTGAAAAAAAAAAAATCTGTAAACGCGAAAAATGCTAGATTTGTGTTGAGTTCTACATTCCTTGCTGCTCACATTCTGAGAAACAAAACAAAAAGAAATAAAGTTTTTATTCTGAATAATATCCTTGTTAAGAAGAGGTTCTTTGGCCGAAGACGTGGGTCTGCGTGGAATTCAGGCCGATGCGAGCCGGCGGAGCAGGCCGGGCACAGCAGCCCTCCGGCTCCAGCACCCGGCCTGGCCAGGCTGTTCTCCTGGAAGTTCCGCGAATTCTCAGGATGGCGGCTGGGGCGCCAGGCGGCTGCGGCAGCCCTGGTAACGCTGGGCAGCCCGCTCGCTGGGCTGCCTGGTTCGCAGCAGCTGCGGAGGCAGGCCGAGGGCGCTGTGGCTGCCGAGTGCTGAGCATGATGGAAACAAAGGCATCCCAGCCCACCGCGCAGCGGGAGCGCACAGGTGCCCCTCGGCCGGGCCGGGAGATAACTCAGGGCGGTCTTCTGCTCCACACTCTTCCTTGGGCCAAAGCTGACCAGCTATTGCCTAAATCCCGGGATTAGCCAGCCGCACAGAGGATGCTGAGCACTTTCCGGGAGCAGTCGGACTCCTGGTCTCCTCTGGGAATGCTTCGCGGTCCATTATCGTGTCAGGAGGGAAGAATGGTTCCTAAAATCTGCACACGGAGCGAAACAGTTTGAAAGGGATTGAGGCTCACCCGGGTCTTCAGCAAATGGAGGACTGAGCTGGGGAGAGTCACCCTGAGCCAGCCCTTCCTCGGACTGCCTAAATCCCAGCATCAGCTTCCTACTGAATGTAGTATTTATGTAGTATTTGGCATCCTCTGAATTTATTTCCTCCCTCATTCCCTCCCAGCTTTCTTTTTATGGCCCCAGGGGGAGGGGGGAGAGCAAGGAGATCGGTATCTTTGAAATAAAAATGCAATTTTATAAGTGCTTTTTTCATTTGATGCTACAGGAGCTAAATATTACATTTCCACTGCTGGATTTAAGAGGGCTGCCTACTGACTGGCTGGTAGAGGCGAAATCAGGCTCAGTAAAGGGAAATATTTTAATCCTCAGATTTAAGGATTCCTGGAGAAAGGAACCAAATTCAGAAAATGCAAACCTCAGACCTGCATCCCCATCATCACCCCCTTCAGAGCTAGAAGTGAGGAACCACTTTCACCTGGGGATCAGGAGCATCGGATGTGACAAATAAAACCGTATTCTCCCTGGATTGTATCTTTCAGAGGCAGAAGTGGAAAATGTCGCCATTTTGTTTGCAATCCAAAATATCCATCATCATGGCCTCTATCTTCCCCCTGTGAAGCTCCCTCAGATGATCCTTAGAAGCAGGCACTGGAGCCATTTCTGGGTATCTGCTGGGTCCCGTCAAGCTGCCTTTAGAGAAACTCCTCACGGTTTAAGGAAAAGGCTCAGAGGATGCAAAGCCAGGCTGCTGTTTCTCTCACACCCAGAGGTGCTTTCTCCATATCTGTCCTGAGATATACATAAATATCTCAGGTTGATAGATATACATAAATCCTTTTTAAAGAGTTTGGGCTGTGGGAGAAGTAGATTTGCTCCCCACACCTCAACCTTTGTGCCAAAATATGGCGCACCTAAAAATGCAGAGGCTGCACAACCAGGGTTTGTGAGAACTAGAGCTTCCCTTTTGGTCATGCTGAGCAGATACAGGAGTCTTCTTTTAAGTAATCAGTTTAGAGACACGTGTAAAATTATCTGGAAAAATAAGGAACAGCTGGGGGAGAGATCCACCTAAGGATGAAGATCTTTCAGGGATACCACTATTTAAACCTATTTCTGAAATCTACTCTTTAACTGAGGGAGGGATGGTTTGGAGGCTTCCTCCTTCCCCCAAGGCTAAGGTTTGAAAATGAGATTCTAATATGATTTCCCATATCTTACCGGTCAAGATATTCATTTTGGCTTTCAAAGAAAATATTGATTCACCCCCAGTTTCCTAGATATTAAAAAGAAATCCTTATTAAAATATCTCAGGGTTAAAGTAATAGATTTGGGAAGATTTCAGTCTTGAGTGGTCAAAGAAAAGGGTTTCTTCCAGATGGTATTTGAATTAAGGCAGCTGAGGCGGGCCGAAAGCTCTCACCCACGCAGCCCCTGACAAAGCCTCAGAGATATGAAGGCAGCGCTGCTCCCTCTCTGCACCTCCCTTCCCTTAAGCCTGTAATATTTTCTGGTAAAAGCAAATGCCAACAGCCACCATCCCAGAGTATGCAAAGCACCCTTTTTAAAAGCAGCCCTATAACCCTCTTCACTGCCAAAAAATATTTTTTAAAAGACTAGTTTTCCTTATTTACTTGCGTTTCTTGCTCTCCTCTTTGCTCGGTCACATTTTATCTTGGAAGGAGCTGGAAGCTGAAATGTGTTCTTAAGGGCTAGAAGCTGTCAAGGCTTTTGGTGAGCAAGATTGATCGCGCCCAGACTTCCTTCGGAGCTTTGTTTGGAATAAAAGCAAGAAAACTGAAAAACCTCACATTTTCCAAAATAGCATCGCTATCTGCAAGGCAAAACTCTGGGCTGGTCAATGATACAGGCCACTTTATATCTAATTTCCACCTCAAACCCTCTTTGGTGCCGGCCTCAGAGATGGGGTCCTGTCTCTGCTCCTTGGTTGGCCTTTCTTGTTTTCTACGTAAATTTTTCTCTCCCTCCATCCTCTCTGTCCCTGGCCATCAGAATGATTTATTTTCCTGCCACTGATGCCTGCCGGCCTGGGGGAGTCTAATCACTTGGTCCATTTCAAAGGAAGCAAAAGCGAATACCCATCCTTAGGGTTTGGGGGTGGGGGAAGAGGTACCTCCAGATCTATCTCTCAGCCTCCTCTCCTCTTTCTGGCTTGGATTTTTTTTAAAAAGTTATTGTTTGGAACCTAAAGGTATTATCTTTTGAACCCTCTAGCACCGTCCAAGATGCGCTCAGTCTCAAGTCTCCAAATTGGAAAAAAGAGAATGAAGGAGAACGAAAACCTTTATAATTCCTCCTTGGGTCGCCTCCTCTCCCCGCAGCGCTGTTTCTCACAACAGAACCCGGAAGCAAACGTCCCCGGTGCCCAAGGATCAGGAAGGTGTGGGAAGCAGTTCGGGCTGCCAGGGAGCCTTGGCGGTATCTGAACCAACCCCAGCCCTCAACCAGAGCGACAAGGACAAGAAGAAGGGTAGAAAAAAAGAGAAAGGGAGGGAGAGAGAGGAAGAAGCATCTTCTCTTTCCCTGCTGGTAACTTCCAACAGACTTCCTGGAAATCGGAAATACTCACCGCACCCGAGCCCTACGGGTATGAAACCCAGAATGCCAGGAGCCGCACACGCCTGCTCGGGGCGGCATTTCTTTGGCTGGTCGCCGCCCTGGCTACGGGGATTTGGACACATGGACCTGGGGTTGTTGTCTCGCACATGCATCTTTCTCCAGCCACTCCTGAGAAGTTGATGGCGCAGGAAGGTTGGGAAGCTTCGAGAGCCTCCTCCCGTTTTCCGCTTCCCGCCGGAGCCAGATGCAAAGCTGCCGTGGAATAGCCTGCTAACAATGGGCCGGGGGCACTGATTCTGGGCTGGACACTGGGAGGGGGGCGAGAGGCTGCGGGGAGAAGGGGAGGCGGACAGAAGAGAGAGGGAGGGAGAAAGGGGGAGAAGAGGAAAAAGTGGGAAAGACAGACAGACAGGAAGGAAAACAGAGACGAGAGAGATCGGTTTTGAGATCCAGGAACCGGTTTTAGGAAAAGTGAAAAAGGAAATGAGAAAGAAAAGGAGGTACCCCTCCCAACCAAACTCTTTCTTTTCTTCTCTCTTTTCTGTCTTCTCTCTCTCTCCATCTCTCTCCTTCCCTTTCTTTATTCTCCCTCTCTCATCTCCTCTCTCCCTCTGCTCCTTTCTCCTGCTTTAACAGAACTTATGTGGCTGGGATGCAGGGTCCTCGGGTGTCAAAACTTTGAAGATTAATGGATTACTTTGTTAATGACTGCAGGCGTCAGACTGAGGTGCTTAAATGATTTGTGAGGTGCGAGGCGTCTTCCCGACAGTCCCAAACAATGCACGGAGTGTGCGGGGGAGGCAGAGGGCAGCCGCTGGCGGGACCAACAGCAGGGCTCACACTCACACACATTCACACACTCACACACACACTCCCAGGCGCACACACACCAGATCCTTGCAGATCAGGAGGTGCGCAGGCAACCTCGCCCCCACGCACTCTGGGACATCCCCACTCACACCCGCATATATGTATTTTTGCCGTGAAAAAAGTGTAAATAAAGCCTCGCTGGCCCCCAATGAGGCGTTCCTTCCCGACTTTTTTGGATCAATCAAACAGACAGTGGCTTCTTTTGATTAAAGCCCAAATTGTCATTGGGCAGAAGCAATCATGTGACAGCCAATTCGGTCCAATTTCAACCTTGTCTCCATGAATTCAATAGTTTAATAGTAGCGCGGTCCCCATACGGCTGTAATCAGTGAATTAGAAAAAAAACACCCCAGCAGCGATCTTCTATGATAGATTTTTTTTTTCCTCTGCGCTCGCCTTTTTCCTGGGCCTTGCCCCCCCAAAGCCCCTCCAAAAGAGGGAACTTTTTCTCCGAGGGGACTCCAAGGAGAAGGCCATGAATTACGAATTTGAGCGAGAGATTGGTTTTATCAATAGCCAGCCGTCGCTCGCTGAGTGCCTGACATCTTTTCCCCCTGTCGCTGATACATTTCAAAGTTCATCAATCAAGACCTCGACGCTTTCACACTCGACACTGATTCCTCCTCCTTTTGAGCAGACCATTCCCAGCCTGAACCCGGGCAGTCACCCTCGCCACGGCGCTGGCGGCCGCCCCAAGCCGAGTCCCGCGGGCAGCCGCAGCAGCCCGGTGCCCGCCGGCGCCCTGCAGCCGCCCGAGTACCCATGGATGAAGGAGAAGAAGGCGGCCAAGAAAACCTCGGTGCCGCCGGCTGCCGCCGCCGCTGCAGCAGCAGCCACCGGCCCTGCTTGCCTCAGCCACAAAGGTCAGTCCAAAGACTTGGCCCCAGGTCCCCGGGATCCTCTTCCTTCTCCGGGCTGCGCCGAAAGCGGCTGTGGGGGGAGGGGAGAGTGGGCTGGGAGAGAAGGAGGAGAGGGAGAGATGCTTGGTTGCCTTGTCCCTGCCCCTGTGGGCTCAAGAGTGGGTTTGATGCCTGCGCTCTACAATGAGACATACATATTTTTAGGAAGTGGGGGGAAACTTTCCCTAACTTGTGTAATGTGGGATGATTTATTTGAGTTGGAACTGACCTCTTCTTGTCTAGTTGTCCTAGAGTTTGGCTTTTTGACAGTAATGAAGAGTGATAGATCGCTCTTGCTCAGCTAAGCAGCTGATGCATTAATTATAAATTGTGTTGTGGCTGATATAAAGTTTGCTCCCGTATGAAGAGGTTGGGGGGAGCCACAGGCATGAATTCGAGAGAGGTGGAGGAGATGGGGTCTTCCCCGGCTGGGCTCCCAGGAAAGGCAGTACAATAGCTCTACTGCATCCAGGGGCGGCCATTTTGTTGCAGTTGATATTTTCTGCTATATTTATTCTCCAGTGGAATAGCCCCGCTCGGACCCCTCCACCTCCAACTGTGAGTGTGTCTCTTGTTGGTTTCCCTTTCCGCAGAATCCCTGGAAATCGCCGATGGCAGCGGCGGGGGATCGCGGCGCCTGAGAACTGCTTACACCAACACGCAGCTTTTAGAGCTGGAAAAAGAATTTCATTTCAACAAGTACCTTTGCAGACCCCGACGGGTGGAGATTGCCGCGCTGCTGGATTTGACTGAGAGACAAGTGAAAGTGTGGTTTCAGAACCGGAGGATGAAGCACAAGAGGCAGACCCAGTGCAAGGAAAACCAAAACAGTGAAGGGAAATGTAAAAGCCTTGAGGACTCGGAGAAAGTAGAGGAGGACGACGAAGAGAAGACGCTCTTTGAGCAAGCCCTTAGCGTCTCTGGGGCCCTTCTGGAGAGGGAAGGCTACACTTTTCAGCAAAATACTCTCTCTCAGCAGCAGGCTCCCAGTGGACACAATGGCGACTCCCAAAGTTTCCCAGTCTCGCCTTTAACCAGCAATGAGAAAAATCTGAAACATTTTCAGCACCAGTCACCCACTGTTCCTAACTGCTTGTCAACAATGGGCCAGAACTGTGGAGCTGGCCTAAACAATGACAGTCCCGAGGCCCTCGAGGTCCCCTCTTTGCAGGACTTTAACGTTTTCTCCACAGATTCCTGCCTGCAGCTTTCAGATGCAGTTTCGCCCAGTTTGCCAGGTTCCCTGGACAGTCCCGTAGATATTTCAGCTGACAGTTTTGACTTTTTTACAGACACACTCACCACAATTGACTTGCAGCATCTGAATTACTAAAAACATTAAAGCAAAACAAAGCATCACAAAACAAAAACCCCTTTGACCAGGTGGTTTTGCCTTCTTTTATTCTGGGAGTTCATATTTTTACTTTATTTTCTTCTTGAGCTACCCCTTCCCTCCTTTAAATGTTGAGGATTTTCTGTTTAGTGATTCCCTGACCCAGTTTCAGAGCCATCTTATACAGGTTATTTTGGAGTTTTAGTTGTTTTAAACCTAACTCAACAACCTTTTGTGATTTCCTGTGAGCAATATATGAGGCCTGCAAGAAAGTGATCATATAATTGTATCTTCACTTTCTTTTTATTTTTGTATTACATTAGGATGCACTGTCACGCATATTTTTCATAGAATAAATTTTCCTTTGCTATAAGTAGCTTTCTTATTTTTCTCCCCCTCTTTTTTCAAGGCTCATATGATTTCTTTTTCTTTTAGTCTAACTTGGTAAATAAAATTATAGTCACAATTTATCTTCTTTTTTCAATTTTAATACATTTATTAAGGTGGCATGTTCAAAGTCTTCAATGGACAGCAACAAAACAGAAAACAAAGAAAATGGCTAGGGCTTCTAATAAGTGTTTTTGCTTTTTTGCTTCTTCTTCTTCTCCTCCTTCTTGTTAAAGGGAATAGATCTGATTTTCAATGCATAGGTTCAAGCCATAGATTTAAATTGGTAATAGAGACAGGATTGGGCAGTCTAAGATTTGGGCCAAGCCCAAGCTTTTGAAAGTGGAGAAATAAAGTGCCTACAGAAACCCCCAACTCCAGGAATGAGTAACATGGAGTTTCTTCAATAGCTACCAGTCTCCAGGTCAATAACTACGTTATCAACAATTCATTTATTTATACACTTTTGTTTAAAACATGTACATGTCAACCCCCTCCCCCATATATCCCTCCACATTTTCAGTGTGGTTGATTAATCTCCCAGCTGTTGATGGGTTCAGGCAAAACAGACCTAAAAGATAGAGAAAACAAAAAATAAAACAAAACAGTGATTACTATCTGGAAAATGCACCCCAGAAAAGGTTCTTTCCAACCCTGTGGTTCAGTCACTCTAGGATTCTTTTTTTTTTCCGGGTCAGAAAAATCAATATTTCATTCTTAAAACTGTTTACATTGCTAATAATGGATCACTAAGGCTTCGAAGCCAGGTTAGCAAGTTGAGATTTAAAATGGTGTGTTTCTACACCCTAGGTTATAAATTAAGACAGTTTCTAGAAAGAAAAGCACTTTAAATGATATCAATAAAACGTGATCTAGGTTGTGTAACTGGGTTGTTGCTTCCCCCCCCCTCCCTTCTTAGGTATCCCCATGTTTATTTTTCCCTTTCTAGGCTCTGTTCTTACCGTGAGAAAATGCAGCATGTAAACAACATGCGTGTGGGGCGGGTTGGTTTAAGAACCCAGCTCTTATCAGCAAAGGCTTGAAAGTTCCAATGAAAACTCGATGTTTCTTCATAGATTTGCTCCCTGCCTTCCCTTGCCCCTTCCTCCACTAAATCCCAGCTGCGGCGGGCGGCGGAGTGTAGGGACTATGGCTGGTTTCCGGCCCCAAGCTCAGCGAGGAGCAGGGCGTCCCGGCTGCGGCCAGAGCTGCGCAGCTCTTGGATGCGATTCGTCCTACGCTCATAAATCAAACGCTTTCTATGAATGAGAATGTCATCAAAGAGATCAATTGCAGGAACACATGCACAAATAAAAATCCTCTTACGTATTTGCCGGGGATCCCCGTCCGAAAGCATTAAGTTAGAAGGCGTTTAGTCATAATTCATTTTTATTGCTCTTTTAAAACAACAGCTTGGCTGAGCTGCGGATGCCATGAACAGCTCAGGGCCTCCGCAGCGTTTTGTTTCTTCCTTTTTCCTTCCCATTCTAGTAAAAGAGCCCTGAAAGAGGCGTTTTGAGCCAAGCAAACCGCTTGCAGGCGATCATTTTAATCGTGACCAAGCTGGCCTTTCACCCACTCTCCCAAGGCGTTGCAAGAGACCAGCTCGAATCTTCGGGCGCTGACCTACTTGCCTAGAGGGCCAAGGGTCTCCTACTCCGTGGAACGGTCCCAGGATTTCTTGGGGGAGGGAGATTGGGAAAGAATCGAGCTACAGAACCCTAACGGCTCAAGGCCAGGGGAGGCTGCCTTTGTGTGCCGTTCCCGGAGAGCGGCGCTCTGGGCTGCCAGCCTAGGCATAGCCAGGCAGGCTGCGAGCGCCCGGCCTGCCGGGAGCCGGGAGCAGTAAACAGAGGAGGGCGGCCGCGGGCCTGTATGCTAGTGCAAGCTCGTAATCCCAAGAAAGACACTCCACCCAAGATGCCCCTGAAAAACGGCCAGGAGAGAGGAAGAGAGGCTGAAGGAGAGCAGCGCCGAGACGGCGAACTAGCAGAGGAGGGAGAGTGGCTCCAGCCGGGGTCGGCTTTGTGGCAGGCGCCCTGCAGCCGAAGTGGTCCTGAAAACCCAGGCTGACGAGGACAACCAAGGTACAGGAATGAGGCAACGGGGGAAGATGTACCAACTTGCTAGCTCAGGCTTGGAGGGAGGAATACTCCTACCTCTTCACATCCTGTCCCCTCCCCCACAGAAGTTCCTTCTCTCCCCACTGCGGGAAGCTGGCGCTCCCAAGGAAGCCGCCTCCAGGAGGACCGCCTTGCCTTCCCCCTTCTCCAAAACCAGGATTCCCAGGAGCTGAAACTGGGGCAGTGGTGACCTTTCCTGCCTGTGCTCCCTCTTAACCATGCTTGGGATGGATCCAAGTCACCGAGAAATACCATTCCAAAAGGAAATGTTTGGGGAGCATGTTTCATTGCTACTGAGAGAGCCCAGGGTCAACGGCTTGCATGGGTTTTCCTTCTTGAGGGGACAGTTTTCGGGGGAACCTCAGTAGTGGAGAAGAGAATAAAGAAGACTGAAAGGGTGACTAATATATTTGAAATGTGCCTGCCTTGAAAAAAAAAAAAAAAAAACTTCCTTGTTCTAACAGGGGAGGAAAGGCTGAAGGAGAGTGGAAACCCCAGACCCACATACATTCCTCAGTATAAATTTCATCTGTCTGATTCCAACTTTGTACACATGGTTGGAGAAAAATTTATATAGCATTGGCTGCAAAGCTTCTTGGATGATCTCTCGATTTCTCCTACCCAAGATTGCATCAGTTCTTGATCTGTTTGGGTTTTTCTCTCTACAAGCCCTGGGTTAACGTGAAACCTAATAGTAAACAACAATTAACTACCCCATCAGCCTCAAGGTAGAAGGAGGGTGATGGGGAACAGTACCCCTGGCCTGGGATGACACTCAGATTTGCACGAGTCTTTCTAGGCAAAGACTAGAAGGTTCTCATAAGCTACTACACAGTCCGTTGGAAAGGGGAGGAAGTGTCGTTGGGGTAAAGTGTTCCGTCCACCATCAGCCATTCTGTCCACCGCCACTCCCACCTGCCAGTCCCCACACCCACTCCAGACATGCAGCACAATGAGGGGGGTTATAAAAGGAAGCTCTCTTTTTCTTCTTACATCCCTCTCCAGAAAAAGAGGAACGCGAGGGGAGTTCAGCGTACTTTGCTGGAGCTGTGGATCGGCCCTGTGAGGCCCACGCGGGAGCACACAGGCTCCTAGGTCTCCGGGCCCCGGCAGATGGCCGGCAGCACACGGCCTGGCCCCAACGCTGGCCACGTCATCTCTCTCCCCCGCCTCCTACCCCTCAAAATCCGCAAGCGTCGTTTCTCCCCCGCCTCCTACCCCTCAAAATCCGGCGGCCGAGTAGCTCCGCATCCCGGAGGGTTCCCGGTGGAAAACTGAGTGGGGGAGACAAAGGGGCGGAGGGGGGAGAGAAAGGGGCGGAGGGGGAAGAGAAAGGGGCGGAGATCGAGGAGAGAGGGAGGGTGGGGAAGAAAAGCCCGGCCGACCAGGGCGTTTTCGGGGCTCTTCCGCCTCCGCCCCCGCTCCCCTCCCCCCCCAGTCGAATTACAGAAGCTCCTCATTGCCATGCTAATGACGAGCAAGGGTAGTTGGGAGAGTTTCGGAGACCAGCCTGGAGAGAGGAAAGTTTCTTTCTTGCCCTCGTCTCCTTCACGCTCACCCGAGTTCCTCCCAGCCAGCCCTCCGCGCTCTTCCTTATCCATTCCGAGCTTGGAGAGTCGGTGGCCCGGCCTCGCCCTCCGCCACGGTTTTCTGCGCTCCTCACTGCTCCGCGGCCTCCAAGCCCATCCTCAGAGCAGAGGAGGTGCCCTGGGAACCCAGGACACTGTGTCAGCCGGATTCCCTGCCTTCCTGCTCCGCGCGCTGCAGGCTCGGCCCGCGTACTTGCGGCCACCTGGCCCACTGATTCCCGCCCCGAGAGAGCCGAGAGGCCTCTTCCCTTCTCACCTCTCGCTAGTTCATCTTTCAGTGCACGGTGGGGAGGAGGAGGGGACAGGGACGGGGGCGGGGGACACCTCCCCGCCCCAACCTCCCGGAGGCCGGAGGAGGAGGGAGCAGCGGAGTCGGGCGCGCGCAGAAGGCAGCCTCTGCTCTCCTTCGCCGCAGCACTCCGAATCGGCCTTTGCTGTCGCCGCCGCAGCTGCCGCCGCCTGGGCTGCCTGGGGGGGCGACTGCGCGTCACCTAGACGGAGGAGCGCCGGGGATTTAAATGCCACTGAAATGGTGATCTATCACCGCGGAAGCCGGCAAACTTTTGCAGGAGGCTCAGCCATTGGCTGACACCGTCACGTGCCCCTCCCCTAGCGTCCTCCGCCCTCTCGCCCCCCCTCCTGCGCACTGTACATTCATATCATTTTTCTTCTCTGGTCCCATGGAGGAAGTGAGAAAGTTGGCACGGTCACCCAGGGCTTCGCAGGACCAGGTCACTCAGTGACAGATGGACAATGCAAGAATGAACTCCTTCCTGGAATACCCCATCCTCAGCAGTGGCGACTCGGGGACCTGCTCAGCGCGAGCCTACCCCTCGGACCTCGGGATTACAACTTTCCAGTCGTGCGCGGTCAGTGCCAACAGCTGCGGCGGCGACGACCGCTTCCTAGTGGGCAGGGGGGTACAGATCGGTTCGCCCCACCACCACCATCACCACCCCCAGCCGGCTACCTACCAGACTTCCGGGAACCTGGGGGTGTCCTACTCCCACTCGAGTTGTGGTCCAAGCTATGGCTCACAGAACTTCAGTGCGCCTTACAGTCCCTACGCGTTAAATCAGGAAGCAGACGTAAGTGGTGGGTACTCCCAGTGCGCTCCCGCTGTTTACTCTGGAAATCTCTCATCTCCCATGGTCCAGCATCACCACCACCACCAGGGTTATGCTGGGGGCGCGGTGGGCTCGCCTCAATATATTCACCACTCATATGGACAAGAGCACCAGAGCCTGGCCCTGGCTACGTATAATAACTCCTTGTCCCCTCTCCACGCCAGCCACCAAGAAGCCTGTCGCTCCCCTGCATCAGAGACATCTCCAGCGCAGACCTTTGACTGGATGAAAGTCAAAAGAAACCCTCCCAAAACAGGTCAGTCCTGCAGGTTGGTGGATGCTCCTTGATTAATCTGGAAGGCTGATATGCTTAATTTCCAAATAAAATTAATAATCTTTGTTTTTTTAAATAAAAGGCTTTTGTATCGAACTAGTGTTGTAGTGCATGAAGAGCATGGAGAGGGTGCCCAGAGGTGTTGGGGCAAAGAAGCCTCAGGGACTGTTGTGTTTTCAAGGATTTTATACATTTGGGAAGTAGGAAGTGTGTGGGGGTGGTGATTGTGAAGGTAGTGTTCTGTTAATATCTCCAGGCTCCATTAATCACCGTCTGACCACGCTAATGGTTGACTTCAGGTTAACACTTTACACCTCATCATTCACCCTCCACAGCCCGATTTGTGTTGAGTTCTTGATCCTTCCTTTATCTGAGTGTTGCCACGAAGTGTGTAGGGCATCTCAAGTCGATTTAAAAATTTTTACCTTTCCGTCTCATGGCTTCCCACTTTGCCCCAGGGAAAGCTGGAGAGTACGGCTACCTGGGCCAACCCAACGCGGTGCGCACCAACTTCACTACCAAGCAGCTCACGGAGCTGGAGAAAGAATTCCACTTCAACAAGTATCTGACGCGCGCCCGAAGGGTGGAGATCGCTGCCTCCCTGCAGCTCAACGAGACCCAAGTGAAGATCTGGTTCCAGAACCGCCGAATGAAGCAAAAGAAACGGGAGAAGGAGGGTCTCTTGCCCATCTCTCCGGCCACCCCACCAGGAAACGACGAGAAGGCCGAGGAATCCTCGGAGAAGTCCAGCTCTTCACCCTGCGTTCCTTCCCCGGGGTCTTCTACTTCAGACACTCTGACTACCTCCCACTGAGGCGGCACCAGCCCCAGACCACAGCCCAGGCATCTTCTTGGGCTAGGACTTCTTACCCAAAGCACATGCTTAGCTTACCTTTCTTTCCATTTACAATGTCTTTCTTTCTTTCTGATCCTATCTGGGAGCTCCTGGCCAGGATAATATGTTTGCAGATAATTCTGGACCAGAGACTTGGTGAGGGTTAACACCTTAATCCAGATTGGGTGCCAGCATCAATTTTCTGGTGGGCCTTAACATCCCTCCTGCTTTTAGGAGAATTCACAGAACCTGCTGTTTCTTTCAGATGCCCTTTTGAAAAATAGTTCCCTTTGCCAACAGAAACATGCCAGAGGGAATCTTCTCATCTTTTTATCTAACTATATGTACAGCTCCCTTGCCCTTGAAAGTAGGATATAGTGAAAGGAGAGTCCAGGAGCTCACGAAGAAGAGATGCACTATGTGTTTACACAACTAATTCATCCCCTAATTTAATTCAGTTTCCTGTGTGTGAGTTTGCTGGTTGTAAATACTTTGTCCTGAGAGATTTATCTTTATACAGATTTTCTAGAAATGTTTAGATTAGGTTACTAAAACAGGGTGGGCAAACTCTCAAAACTGGTACAATTTTATATGTGCTTATAGGTGAAAGAACAAATTCCCTCATTTAAACCCAATCAGATGCCTCAGAGGGTTGCCTCAATTTGTTCTTACAGTTAAGAAGGCCTGCAGAGCACAAAGTTCAGAAACCATGCTTCCTGTGCTAAGTCTCTCCTAATCCCTATACCTTTCTTCTCCGGCCACCCTCTGTTTAAAATTTGTGCTGGATAATCCAGAACCTAAAAGTATTATTCAAACCAACTTCTTCCTTCCACAGTTATCTTAGTTGGATATGTTGTATTTTCAGCTCAGTTGTTAATGTGATGGATGGCACAACGAATGTATATTTTGTGTGATTCGTGAATAGTCTTTTGCATGTCGCACCATGTTTGATGTTCCCGAAGTACCACACTGAGTTCTATCAGTTATCCTTTGTGAGCCTATGATATTCCCCCTTTCCTGTACAATCATGAACAGCTCTGAGATTCTAGAGTGATATGATCCAGAGCAGAGTTTACGGGTCTTAGGATGTCTGTAATAAATAAATATACTCAAGTTTCAGGTATGCTTAAGCATCCGTGTATTTGGCTGGGCTACAATTTGTTAATTCGTACATTGGCACATTTCATGTGGGAAAAGGGAGAAAGGTGGTAAATATTTTCAGAGATGAGACTTTTCTTGAATAAAAGTTAATGTTCTCCATTATCATGTAGCTGAAACTCCCCCATGAGTATAATTTCCCCTAACCAATGTCTGTTTAATAGGTTGATTCTCTTTAAAATAACAGCTCCTTTATTATAATCAAAGCTCATAATGAAAAAAAAAAAGACTGGTGAAGAAATTTATGAAGCAGATTTATTTTTGAAACAAACACAGGTACTTCCTGGGTCAAGTGCTAACCTTTTCACCTCCAACTGGATGTTGACGTATATATAAACAGAACTCCCTTCAAAAGCCCAAACTGTCTTCAGTCAGTCTTTCCTCACATCAGTGAACCAAGGGCTAAGAGATTCACATTTAATTAGCTCCAGTATAAAGCTGTTGTGAGTATGGGGCCCTCATTCCACTCCTTTTCCTTCTTTTTGGGTTGTCAGGCAGAGTTCCAATATATTCCACCCTTTAAATGTAGTGTTTTTAATAAACCCTTGCATCCCTTCCCCCATTCTTCCTGTCAACATATATCCCTTCCTGTAGCTCTTCCCCACTTCTTCCCCATCTCTGGGTTGCACATCTAATTCCCTTCAGACTCAGCTTTGATTTTATAGCCATCATGGCTGTAATGGATCCACAGTTTTAATTCCATGCCACATAACCCAGAAAAAAAAAAGTTATTTTCTCCTCTGGGCTCAACAGATACTTCCAGGTGAACTTGCGGAAGCTACCCTGAAGTCTTTCAATATCCAAGTTGTTTCTGACCAAGGAACATATCTGCTCTCAAAAGAGGAAGCCAGCAAATGATAAGAGTTAAAAGTGGCTCACCTCCCAGACCTGTTTATCACTTTCCTTTACTTTCACATATTTTTGGAGGCATTTTATTTAGCCCAACAGTAGAGCAGAAAATTTACAGCACTGAAAACAAATACAGACATATGACTTCCTTCCTCTTCAAAGAGTGTTTTACAAAGGATAGGCTGGAGGAGAAAAACCCTACAGAAACTTGGAATTTGCAGGCCGTCTAGAGCATTTGTGAGAATTCCTGCACTGCTCTGTCAAAGGAGAGAAGCCTGAACTTTGCAGGCGCAGTTGCTGCGGCCATATCAAGGGCGCCGGGTGCCCTCCCTTCAGCTGCTGGGTTCTGAGGTTGCCTGTAAAAGACTCAAGTGGTTGGAGAAAAACTTCAAAGACGGTCAATCCTTTCTTTCATTTCCTGCTTGGCCTTATACTGTATCTTTTGTTTATTAGTGTAAGGCCACACAGCAAAACAGATGGCTGGTTTCCAAATACTTTAATGTGTTAAAGTGTCATTTGCATGCCACTGGCTCCATTTCAATATCTAAAAGCAGGGCACACTGGAATCCCACAGATTTCAGTCTTTAAGGTGATTTTAATGCAGCAGAGAGAGAGAACAATAAATTATGGCTAACCATCTCTAGCTTTCTCTAGATCATGGAATAAATCAGTTAACAAGCAATGCATTTAGGAAACATTAATACACCTTTCAACAAGGAAACATTTGTATCTTTTTAGCTGTCCCAATCGATTAAATCAAAGGCGCTTAACACATCCCATTTCAAGGTCTCTCTTTTTCTGCTTTCGTCTCTGAGCACAGTTAGCTACTTGAAAAATGACAGTGATAGTAACTGAAACAACACACAGTGGGAAAACTGAAAATAACATTTTATTGATACATTTAAAAAGAAAACAAGTGTCTCAATTAGGCACCTGGGATAATTGCGATATAAAATTCTAGTTTTCTAATTTTTTTCCTCACTTCCTCTACATTTAGCCAAAGTACT